GGTACTAATTAAATTGTTAATGAGTTACTAATTAAATTTAATTTGTACAAACTGCTACATACCGTTTACTTCGCCCATGACTATATCTTCATCGGATAGATCTTTAAGAGTTTCTAACACAACCTCAATAGGAGGGCGTTGGCCTGGATCTTGCATCCAACAATTTTGATATAGCTCAATGTATTTTTCAGGAGTGCCTTCGATTGGTTTCTCCCGTACGCCATTTATTAAACAGGATTGTAAGGCATGATCATAAAAACTTTTATTGAATGGAGGTCTACAACTTGTTATTTCCCAAAAAAGAACTCCCAATGCGTAAATATCAGACTTTTTATTTCGATATTTATGATAATTTAGCCGCATCGGATCAATATATGGTAACACTCCGATAACATTTCCCGCAGTACTTGAATTCGTTATTAGACTTCTGGAGGCTCCAAAATCAGCTAATTTGGCTATTCCATTCATTATTAAAACATTATTTGAATGCTAAGAATAAAAGAAAAGTTAGCATTTGATCATTAATAAAATTTGCACATAACTTCATTAACCTACTAGGCCTAGATGAACAATTTTTGTATTGTGTAGAGCTAATAGTCCATTAGCAACCTCAGTTGAGAGTTTAATTTTATCAAACCAATTTAATTCTTTTTTCTTTAAACACAGAAAATTTCTAAGAGTTCCACCATCGGCAAAGTCAAATACAAGTCGATATGTATTTGTTGTTGGATCTTTATATGCATGATTGATTAATGAGAGCACAGAATTGTTTGATAATATTTAAGAAAAGAAATAGGTTGATCTTTAGTATAGCTGGGCAATATGGAATTATTATAAAAGTATAACATAGAAAAATAACTATTTAAACTAATTTAAACAAATTTATAAATATATAGTTAGGATTAGGGTGAAAGTTATAGTTTAAATTAGAGTTAGCTTAGAGTTAGTGGTAGAGTTTTTTTATATTATAGTCTTATAATATTTCTATATTGCCCAGCTATACTAAAGGAGGTCCAAGAAATATACCTTGAGATACCCCAAGTAATTGGATTACATATTCGGAATTTCGTAGCTTATTCTGCAATTTCAACTATATAATAAAAGTAGAACTAAAATTAAAATATGATAACATTTAAGATAGCGGATTATGCTTGTAGGCGCAACCTCACGAATAAAAGTACGTCGTGAATTATCATCATCATCTCGGACATTTGTCATTCGTTTACATGCGACCCATTTTCCTTCTGAATTCAATATACATTTGGTTACTTTTGAATATCCACCCCTACCAATATCTACTTCATTTTTTAATTGGTTGGGTGCAACATTTACAAGAATGCCCTTTGTGATAGCTTCATCAAGCCATTCACTCAAATACACCATAGCCCCTTTTTTAAAGTGATTTTGCCTTGCTGCGTTAATGACAAAGGTTTAAAAGTGAATGTTGTGTAAAAGGCCTTATTTGTGCCAGTAATACAAGACCCTAACAAGGAAACAGCCAATACAAAATTGATCCTATTAATAAATTCAAAAGTACCCGGAACGGTGTGATATTGAAAATTTCACGAAGTGTATGGTTATAATGCAAATTAAATGGCGTGCGTACACAAAATCTTTCTTTTTTATTGGACATATGCATATGGCGAAGCAAAGGTGTGAATGCATATCAGGACTTCACATGTTACACCTTCACAGGGAATGTGTAGCATTTTCTTCTATAATCGTACATTTCCGCATGATTTTAATACTTGTTCTGTGACCTGTTTATTGCAGTACGTGTAGTTAATTAAGTCCAAAAAATCTCTCAATGGTATTACTGTATTTAAAAGTTTAACACAAATAGAATCATATAAGTTAGGATAAATTATACAGTAAGAAAAGAAGCTATTTTGTAAAAATAAAATTGTACATAAAAAAACGTTATTTGATTGTTGTTTAGTAATGTAAATTTAATAGTTGTTGTAAAGTCGAGATTAAACCCGTGCTTTTTTCAGGAATTAAACAATCAGAATCAACTAAATTGAAATCCTTTCGAAAATTTTGAATTTCTTTAAACTTCTAATGAAGGTTTCTCGACAACCACTAAACCAAATTCAATGAGCTTTTTTTTTTTATTTAAATTTTACAAATATATAGAATCAAAATAGAAAAATGTTTTACTTTACCGAATGGTTACAGAGAAATCGTCGCTAGAAGTTTTTAAAAAGCTTGAAATATCGAAAAAAAAAACCTAAATATATTTTCTCAACACCAATATATCCAAATTCAATGAAAATTTTTTTTTATTCTGCATGTATGTAGGATTAAAATAAAAAAAAAATTTATTGAAATCGAAACGTATCGCATTACACATCTTAGTCAGTTTTTTTTTTTTTTTTTTTGGGCTATGCCGGCGATTAATTTTAGGCCGGAGATGATTTTATTGAGACAATTGAATGATAATTAGTACACGATGATGATGAAGCAAGTGATTGGCCGAGGATGGCCAAAACGGCAATGACATCCCGAGGAGTTTGCAACTATTATTGCGCTGGGAGTCGCCGTAGGATTAGCTAGCCGGTGGTTTCCCGCCTGCCGAAGCAGGCCGGCTGTGTGCAGAGAAATGGGAGAGAAATAAAACATGTGCGGGTGGAGAGATGGTAGAATCACGTGGTCATCCAATAGGGCGGGGGGGTGGGGCGAGAAATTCCGATCGTTGCGGGTTTGATACCAATGGAGCTTATGCCCGGCCCTTGATTATAAATACGAATTTTGTCTTGCCTATTCCAGTTGTATGGCGTTATACTATCAAGCTGGCATATGCTGTTGCATTTCGCATATGATTTCAATTCTCAATCACATTCCCTTTCTGGAAACAGCATTTCGTGATATGCCTTGCGGTTGCGGTGGTGTGGCTGTGTGGCTGCTTCACTTTCGATCACGTGATTACCATCACTCCGCATGAATAGAAATATTGATTAAAATTTAAAAAAAAATTTGGCCGCAGCTTTTTTTACGGACATCTAAAATTCGAACGAAGATAGTTCGACAGTTACCTAATCAAATTCGATCAAATTTTTTTTATTTTAATTCTATAACCTCATAGAATTAAATAAAAAAATTTGATGAATATGATCAGGTAAGTGACGAGTAATCTTCGTTCGAATTTTAGATGTCCGTAAAAAAAGCTGCGGCCAAATTTTTTTTTAAATTTTAATCAATATTTCTACATCTATCTATTCAATTTCAATAATTTTTTTTTATTTTAATCCTACATGCATGCAGAATAAAAAAAATTTCATTGAATTTGGATATATTGGTGTTGAGAAATCATCGTTTAAAGATTTGTAAAAAATTTAAGAAAAAGAATGCTGCAATAAATTTATTTATTTAAACTTTAATCAATGGTTGCTCAGCAACCATCTATCCAAATCAAATGAAATTTTTTTATTTTGATTCTGAAATTTTGCAGGGTTGATATAAATGAAATTTACTGAATTTGAATAGACAGATGTTGAGAAATATCGATTAAAATTTTAACATATATTTTGCCGCAGTTTTTTTTACAGATATCTAAACTTTACCTAATCAATTTTTTTATTTTAATCCCATCCCTGTAGAATCAAAATAAAAAAATTTCATTGAATTTGGATAGATAGTTGAGAAATCATTGGTAAAGTTTTAAAAAGAAAATATTTGCCGATTTTTAGATTTTTTTCACGATGTTTCAATTTTAAAAACTTCTGGCGAAGGTTTCTCGACGACCACTAAACAAACTTAATTAATTTTTTTATTCTAATTTCACAAATATATAGAATCAAAATAAAATTTTTACTAATTGATTACTGAGAAATCTTCGTTGAAGTTGGGTACCCTTATGTCAAGCAAATTCCGGGCTGAAGATCACTTCCGATCATTAATTCCATAGATCGGATCCAATAAAATTACAGGATCTTGTGTAACAAACACGCAAAAAATGTAAAAAATGCAAGAAATTGTAAATAACGCAAAATTTTACTATGCCAACTAAACTTCCGACCTTAAAAAAAGTTTTCGGCATGAAATTTTAGTCATAGGGAGCATCTTTAGGCCATGCAAAATTAATTAAATGGTTTTCATAACCCGGCCGGGTCAAAATTTGAAAATTTCAAAAAAAAAAT